TGGCCTAAACCTAGCAAGTTTCCTCTTGAAAACACTAGGAGTCGGTTGGTAATTTCCCTCATGAATGGAAGGAGGGTACTGAAAGTCTTTATTTCCGTTACACCTCTTAACTTTGTGTAGTCATTGCGCCCTTACGGGGTATCTTGTACCCTATGCCAAGCCGTTTGCTTTCGTGGGGAGCGATTGCAGTATGCAGATTTTGGACCAATTCTTCCAGAAGTTTCCAGAGGCCAGAGTGGTGAGAGCAGCAACTTTTGGGCAAAGGATATCTGCAGCTGGTGTTGAGGTTACTCCAAAGCTCCTTCCATGACTACTGTTGTATAGGAGGCTATAGGTGGGAATAAAGATGTTTTCTGATATAACAACACAAGATGAATTCAAGGTTCCTTGCACCCAGCATAAGAAAAATATGAACAGTCGCCGTGCTAGGAATAGGTCACCGGTGATTAATTTCCCCGGGGGCCGTGAAGTCGATATGAAAGAGGGGTTGAGGGTGTGGGGGACGTGGGGGTGAGGGGACAGGAACTTCCTCTCCTCCGGGATATTTTCTTATTTAAAATTAGGTACATCAACAATGTGCTGCTACCCTATTCTATATGACAGTTACAGTGGGAATAAAAGCTATCTGTTTCCTCTGATATTCCATCGTGCAGGGTGTTGAAATCCGTAAGCCAGAGCTGGGAGACTTCAGCAGGGCATTGAGGATATCATCAAGTATTCCAGTAAAGGTTTCACCTACGGGAGTTTAAAAGGTTTCCTTCCAGCATAGCTGGAGTTACTGTCACTTATACCATAGACAGGAAAATAGAATTATTATGAAGATATCTCCATCATCCCAGAGCGGGAGCAAGAAAAATTATGTTCAGGAGGCGGAGGAAAGAAAAAAATGGAGAAATATGGATGTCATGAGATATTTAACTGCATTACATAGAAGGGTGTCAGCATACTGGGAATACCACTTCCAGGGCCAGAAATGAGGTCAGCACTAGCTGGAGGCAACGATGTTGGCAGACGTAGGAGTGAGGACCTGATTAGCAGGTATAGGTCAGCAATAGAAATAATTAGAAGTAAGGGTGGGAACCCTCTCATATGTGGTATTTTGCCAAGGAGGGGAGTTGGAAGTGAATGGTTGTCCAGGGCAATTGGTGTCAATTGCTGGCTGGACAAATACTGTAAGGAAAATGCGGTAACATTCATTGACAACTGGGACCTCTTCTATGGCAGAAATGACATGTATGCTAGGGATGGGGTTCACTTATCTAGGTGTGGGGTGGGAGCACTGGCAACTGCAGTGGAGGGAGCAGTTGGGGACTTTAAACTGGGAAATTTAGTTAGTGGTATGGGTTTTGGCAGGAAACATTGAAGTCCCAGTGTAGTAATATTACGAGTTCTAGGGGAACTAGTAATAATAAGAACGAGTAGATATTGAAAAGCCAGGGACCTTTGGGGTGATAAAGACGGTAATAGGTTTTAGTAGAAAAAATAGAAATGAGCAGGAAGGGTAAAGAGAAAAGGAGAGTCTTTCAATGTTTCTTATGCTAATTGCCGTAGTGCTAGGAATAAGATGACGAGTTGAGATTAGTTGCTAGTGTAGGTAACATTGATGTTTTTGGGCCTTAACTGAGACGTGGTTTAATTAAAAAAAGTCGGGACATGCCTGCGGAATGTCATATTCAGGGTTTTAAATTGTTCCAAAAGAAGATAGAAGTATTGGGAGGGGGGGTGGGGTGGCATTGTACGTCCGAGATCGCTTGAACTGTTGCATAAAAACGGGTATTAAGTTGAAGTAAACACTTTACAGAGTCTGTTTGGTTTAGAATTTTCAGAGGGCATGAAAAACTGATTTTAGGAGTGATATACCGCCCCCCTAATTGATAGGGACCAAGGGAAACTATTTATGGGAGGAAATTGTTAAGGCCACAAGGCACGATAATGTAGTAATTCTAGGAGCTTTAACTTTAGTCATGTTGATTGGAATTTTCTTGACTGGGAATTTAGAATCGTACGACTTCTTAGAAGTATTTCAGGATTGTTTTTTGAAGCATTTTGTGACAGAACCTACAAGGGGAAATAACCTGCTTGACTTAGTTATGGCAAACAATGAATCCCTTTTTAAATAATTTAGAAATTTCAGGGGAAAACTGGGTGCTAGCGACCACAAATCAATTACATTTAGCTTTGAATGGAAGTACGATAGTAGCGATAACTCAGTAACGTCCCAGATTTTCGCTTAGCAGATTACGATGGGCTTAAAGAAAAACTTATATCTGTTGACTGGGGGGTAACGAAGAGAGCTATCAATATGACAGTTTTCTAAAACACTATACATGCTGCTCAAAGAGCGTTTATCCCATATAAAGAAATTAGATAAAATAGAAATGACCCAAAATGGATGAATAATAGGCTCAAATATCTATTTGGGCATAAGAAAGGAATTTATAGGCGTATCAAAAGAGGTGGGGGTCATTTATGAATCAGTTATTGACATTAAGAGGGACATTAAAAAGGGGATAAGAAAAGCTAAAAGGGACTATGAAATTAAAGTTGCTAGGGATTCTAAAACTAACCCAAAAAGTTTTTTCCAGGTCTATAGAACAAAAGTTAGAGATAAGATGGTCCCCTTAAAAATAACTATTGGGCACCTTACTGACAATGAGAATGAAATGTGCTTGATTTTAAATAATTATTTTCTCTCAGTTTTTACACAGGAAGACACTAACAATATTCCAGTAATTAATTTTTACAGTGGGTAGAAGAAGATAAATTATGTAACATCACAGTCACTAGTGAGATGGTTGTGAGGCAGATAGACAGACTGAAGCAAAATAAGTCGCCGGGGTCCTGATGAGGTTTTTTCAAGGGTTTTTTAAGGAATGCAAAATGGAACTCTGTGAACCATTAAAATAATATTTTATTTAATCTCTTCAAAAAAGGTGTAGTGTCTGATATGTGGAAGATGGCTAATGTAACTCCTATTTTTAAAACAGGGGACAAGTCGTTACCGTCAAATTAACCGCCCAATAAGCCTGACCTCAATTGTAGGAAATTACTAGAGTCAATTATAGCTGAGATTTATAAGAAGCCATCTCGATAAGCATAGCTTGATTAATGATATCAGCATGGATCACAAGAGGCCGGTCTTGTCTAACTAATTTATTAACTTTCTTCAGTAAAGTTTTGGGCTGTTGACCACAATAAAGAATTTGATATTATTTACTTAGATTTTAGTAAGGCTTTTGATAGAGTTCCGCACCCTAGATGTTAAAGAAAGTGGCGCCCATGGCATTTTGGGGGAAAAGTGCTCTCGTGGATCGAGTCATGGCCCCACTGACAGGAAGCAGAGAGTGTCCATAAATGGGGTTAAATCCGAGTGGGGATCTGTAACAAGTGGCGTTCCACAGGGATCAGTCTTGGGTCCGTTGTTGTTTATAATATATTTTCAATGATTTTTGATGAGGGAATTACTAGTGATATGAGCAAATTCGCCGATGACACAAAGATAGGTAGGATAATTGATTCAAACGTAGATGTTAGGGAACTTCAGGAGGACTTAAACAAACTCTATTCTTGGTCAGAAAAGTGGCAGATGCAGTTCAATGTAGATAAGTGCAAGGTTCTGAAGCTTGGGAGTGCCCCTAACCCTAGTACTTTTTAAATTAAATGATGTAGAACTTAGCCATACAGATTTCGAAAAGGACTTGGGGGTTATGGTGAGCAGCAACCTTTAAAACCCAAAACAGCAATGCCTAAGCGTACGTAATAAGGCAAATAGATTACTGGGATTTTTTATCAAGAAGTGTAAGAACAGAAGTCCCGAGGTCATACTGCAGCTTTATACATCATTAGTAAGGCCTCACCCAGATTATGCAGCTCAGTTCTGGTCTCCGTATTACAAAATGGACATAAATTCGTTAGAAAACATTCAGCGTTGGATGACTAAATTAATAAAATAGCATCAGAATCTTCCTTATGAAGAAAGATTGAAGACTCTTAAGTTACATTCACTTGTTAGACGAAAAATGAGGGGAGACCTGATCGAAGTGTATAAGTGGAAATAGGTATTAATAAAGGGGTTTTTAATAAAGGGCTTGAGGATGTCTCTCCAAAAGAGAACCCGCAAATAATGGATTTAAATTAGATAAGTTTAGATTTAGAAAGGACATAGGAAAGTATTGGTTTGGAAATAGGGTAGTTGATGAGTGGAACAGTCTACCTAGTTGGGTTATTGAGGCTAGGACTTTGGGTAGTTTCAAATCTAGGTTGGATAAGTACATGAGTGGGAAGGGTTGGATTTGAGTGGGACTTTCACATCAGAGCTTATTTCTTGGGTAGCATTGAAAATTGGGTTGGGTAAATGTTTTGTTAGTGGGATGAATTGTAAAGGACCTGCCTAGTATGGGCCAGCAGGCCTCCTGCAGTGTTCCTCCTTTCTTATGTTCTTATGTTCTTATGAATAAATTTCATGAAGGTAAATTGGTTGTAAATAAAAAAAGGAAGAAAATAGGAAACGGTGTGAAGTTTAAATGAGACAAGAGCAATTCATAATGTTTATCCCTGTGGGGTCATTTTCCCGTAGCCCAGTCACATGAAACCTGGTTGACAGCCTGATCAGTAGGTACCACTTTAAATAATCATGAATGGTTGTTATGAACTAAATTAATGTGCTCTTTTTGAAGACAGAGGTTTATTAGTGATTCATCTTTTATCTAGCCGTATCTATAACCTCTTCGAGTCATCATGAATCCTCTCCTGTCTTCGTTTTTTAACTCTCTCACATCATCAGTTAACAGTGAAACATAATTTTGGTGGTAGAGGTTGTGGCATTGTTTGGTCATGGTTGTTGGATTGCCATAACTGATTCATAATGTAACGTTCTTTTATAAGTGATTGGAGAGAAATTGGCATTGTTTTAATATTTGTTGGTAAATAATTTATATTTTTATTATTGTTTTAATTTAATTATTATTCAGTTTAACAATAATAATGTGTATTTTTTACAGGGTATATTGTCCTTCCTGAGTGCTCCGCTAATAGGCGCGCTCTCAGACTTATGGGGCCGCAAGTTCTTCCTGTTCATCACTGTGTTTTTCACTTGCCTCCCTATCCCATTTATGAAGATCAACACATGGTGAGTTGCTCTTAATGCATTATACATAATCTGATTAGTTTTATTGTTGTGCTCTTTGTACTACATTACATGTATCAAATAATTTTTCACAGTAATTTTTGTTGTGTAATTTACAGCTTTTTCTTTGAAATGGAATGTGTTGTGTGTCTTGAATATCTGTTTGGTAATTTTATCAGGTAGGTTTTTTAGATTTTTGGTGTTTGTTCGTTTTTTGTATGTATATTGATATCTTGTGGTCAGTCTGTAGCACAAGAATATGTGGATACACAAAAGATATAGCAACTAGCCCCTAAAGTGGTTAGCAGGAGTATATCTGGGAATAAAGTTCATAGGTAATACACTAAAAAAAAAACCTGTAGTATTTGTGACTTTACTGTAATTCAATTATGTAAAAATCATATAAAATATTCATGACTTATTGTGTATTTCAAGTTACTGCTAGGTTATCAGCTAACTTTTAATTTGTTTATATATACATCATACGTGTTAGTGTGTGTGCGCCTGCACACACACACACACACACACACACACACACACACACACACACACACACACACACACATATATATATATATATATATATATATATATATATATATATATATATAATTATATATATATATATATATATATATATATATATATATATATATATATATATATATATATAATATTATATAATGTCGTGCCGAATAGGCAGAACTTGCGATCTTGGCTTAAATAGCAACGCTCATCTTGCCATATAGGACAAGTGAAAATTTGTGTATGCAATAATTTCGCCAAAATCATTCTGAACCTAACGAAAAAAATATATTTCACTGTGTTTGTTTAGTATTAAATTACTGTAAACAAATCTAAAATATATTTAGTTGGGTTAGGCTAAAATAAATTGTTCTTGTTATAATAAGGTTAGGTAAGTTTTCTAAGATTCTTTTGGAGCAAAATTAAAATTTTTTACATTAACATTAATGAAAAAAATATATCTTTAAACGTATAAGAGAAAATTTTAGAAAGGACTTAATTTTAAATGAGTTCTTGCTAATTGACCAGTTTTACATATTCGGCACGACACACACACACACACACACACACACACACACACACACACACACACACACACACACACATATATATATATATATATTATATATATATATATATATATATATATATATATATATATATATTATATATATATAATACATACATTATATAGGTATGTGTGTATGTATATGTATGTACAGTGGAACCTCGGTATTCGAATTTAATTCGTTCCAGAATGCTGTTAGAGTGCCGATCTGTTCGAGTACCAAACAATTTTTTCCCAACCAGTTTTCTTTTTTGTTGGCTGTTATCACTAATCTTCTAAGGCCTCATGGTAACTTATTTATACAAATAATATTAAAAAAAAAAACAAGAAAAAATGCGGAGAAACACTAAATAGTTTACAGTCAAAATTGTGTTTGTTTGGTCGAGTGCCAGTCAAAACGGTTGACTACGGAGCAATTTTTTTTTACCAAACAGAGCGTTCGAATACCGAGGTTCCACAATGTGTGTACTCACCTATTTGTACTCACCTATTTGTGGTTGCAGGGGTCGAGTCCTAGCTCCTGGCCCCGCCTCTTCACCGGTTGCTACTGGTGTGTGTGTGTGTGTGTGTGTGTGTGTGTGTGTGTGTGTGCGTGTGTGTGTGTAAGATATATATATATATTATTATTTATTATTTATGTCTTTGCAAATAGTACATTGAGATTATGTATTTACAATAATGGGTTGCAATGCAAAGAGAGCCTCTATTATGCCTAGGCAGTATGGGCCGACTTAACCTTATTGGCTTACTGACTACTTAACACTAAGAATTATATAATAGTTGTACAGTAGAATATTAATTATATCATAGTTGTGCAGTAGATTATTAATTATTAGTGAATCTAATTTATATAAGACAAAAGATATATTCATATATTCAAAAATGCTTTTTGTGAAAACAATGATTCAATTATATTCCTGTCGACAATGGATAAAAGGTTCAAAAGTAATTTGTTGAAATTATATGGGAATACATAATTGAGTATGTGAGTACTGAGTATTTAGCATTTAGTCTAGGGTGATTAAGTGGCTTTTGAGAAGAGCCTTAAGTGGCTTTTGAGAAGAGTTTTAAATTGATTTTCAGACCGGGTTACTTTAGTATCTTCTGGTAATGAATTCCATATTTTGGGGCCCTTTGTGCATAGATTTTTTACAGTGTGATATGGACACGAGGTACTTCAAAATGAGATCTGTGTCTTGTGTTATGGTCATGTGTCCTGTTAAGGTTGGTGAAGAGAAGTTTGAGTGGAGGATTTATATTTGTGTGTATTGTTCTATGTATGTAGTAGGCACATGAATAAGTATGGATGTTCTTAATGGTGAGCAGATTTAGACTTTTGAAAATTGGTGGAGTATGCTGGCGGGAGTGGGAATTTGTTATTCTGACTGCTGCCTTTTGCTGGGTTATTAGAGGTCTTAGATGATTTAATGTTGTTGATCCCCATGCACAAATTCCATATGTGAGATAAGGGTATATGAGTGAATGGTACAGTGCCAGGAGAGCTGATTGTGGAACGTAGTACCGTATCTTTGATAGTATGCCTACAGTCTTAAGAGATTTTCTTGGTGATTTGTTGTATATGTGTCTGGGACTTAAGGCTACTGTCAAGGTGAATACCTAGGAATTTTCCCTCTGTGAGTCTTGTGACTGATGATCCGTTTAGCGTTATGTTAAGTGGATCATTTGCAGCTTTGTTTCCAAACTGAATGAAAAGGTTTTATCAGTATTCAGGGTAAGTTTATTAGTCATCATCCAGGCAGATATTTTCTGCAATTCGGCATTGACAGTGTTGGCGAGTATGACTGGGTTTGGGTGGGAGAAGACGTATGTAGTGTCATCTGCAAATAATATGGGTTTGAGCAGCTGTGATGCATTCGGTAGACCATTGATGTAAAGGACACTTCCGTGTGGGACTCCTACTGTGATTGGTTGGGTGGAAGAGTTTGCACCATTTGCATACACACATTAAATTCTGCTATTAAGGTACGACTTTAGGTAGTTGAAGGAGTGGCCTCTGATACCGTAGTGCATTAATTTGGAGTACAGCAGTTCATGGTCGATTGTATCAAAAGCTTTACGTAAATCAATGAAAATGCCCAGCGGGTCATATTTCTTTTCGAGTGCAGTATATATTAGTTCAAGCATGTGTATGATAGCATCATTTGTGCTTTTATTATTCCTGAATCCAAACTGACAAGGGTTTAATATGTTGTGTGAGACGAGGTAGGAATAGATCCGTCTATGAATTAATTTTTCAAAGATTTTAGAGAACAGTGATAAGTTAGATATTGGTCTAGAGTTATTCAAGTCAGCTTGGTCACCTCCTTTGTGGATCGGAGTGACCCTCGCTATTTTGGGGATTATTGGGAAGGTAGATGATTCAATATATATGTCGTGCCGAATAGGCAGAACTTGCGATCTTGGCTTAAATAGCAATGCTCATCTTGTCATATAGGACAAGTGAAAATTTGTGTATGCAATAATTTCGTCAAATTTATTCTGAACCCAACGAAAAAAAATATATTTCATTGTGTTTGTTTAGTATAAGTTATTGTAAACAAATCTAAAATATATTTTGTTGGGTTAGGCTAAAATAAATTGCGTTTGTTATAATGAGGTTAGGTAAGTTTTCTAAGATTCTTTTGGAGCAAAATTATAAATTTTTACATAAACATTAATGAAAAAAATATATCTTTAAACGTACAAGAGAAAATTTTAGAAGGGACTTAATTTTAAATGAGTTTTTGCTAATTGACCAGTTTTACATATTCGGCACGACATATATATATATATATATATATATATATATATATATATATATATATATATATATATATATATATATTATATATATATATATTACATAATTTTCTTTCTTTTTTGGGTCACCCTGCCTCGGTGGGAGACGGCCGACTTGTTAAAAAAAAAATATGGTACAAAAATGTTTAAGATATATATATATATATATATATATATATATATATATATATATATATATATATATATATATGTATATATATATATATATATATATATATATATATATATATATATATATATATATATATATATATATATATATGCAGGACAAACCATGGGGGGTGGAAATCTTTAGCTCAAGTACTTTCACACTTCTCAGTGCATCATCAGGAGCTGTGCAATGTTTGCAAGGGAGCAACCAAAACAGGGAGAGAGGTCTCAGAGTAGCGTAGGTGTCACTTGCCACAGTTACCCTTAGACTTATTTAGTTAGAGTCTAAGGGTAATCGTGGCCAGTGACACCTACGATATTCTGAGACCTGAATATTAAAATGATCTCTCTCCCTGCTTTGGTTGCTCCCTTGCAACATTGCGCAGCTCCTGATGATGCACTGAGAAGTGTGAAAGTACTTGAGCTAAAGTTCCCCCCCCCCCATGGCTTGTCCTGCATAGTTAAGATCACCCGTCTGCGATTGTTTGTATGTATGTATGTATATTATATATATATATATAATATATATATATATATATATATATATATATATATATATATATATTATATATATATATATATATATATATATATATATATATATATATGCAATAAGATCACAGTAAACAGGTGATTTCAGAATATGCAAAACAACCACTGTGAAAGAATAGAGAAATTCCAAGCGCTTTCGTGACTACTCACATTATCAAGGAACATTATCTTTCAGAGTGGTAGTTTTGCATGCATATATATATATATATATATTATATATTATATATATATATATAATATATTATATATATATATATATATATATATATATATATATATTATATATATATATATATATATATATATATATATGTATGTATGTATATATATATATATTTTTTTTTTTTCAACAAGTCGGCCGTCTCCCACCGAGGCAGGGTGACCCAAA